TGGCCCACCAGGAGTGTGAAGCATGGAGGTGGCAGGCAAGAGATCGGGTCTGTAGCTCTGCGGCCAGCGCATTTGCAGCGAAATGGAGAGCGTTGGCTGCCCCAGCCGCCACGAGCAGTCTGGCGTTGGAGCGCGCCGCATCTCTCGCCTTGGGCACAGTAGCTGGCATGTGAATATTCAGCGTCGCAGGCTGTTGATGGAAATCCCCAAAGGCTTCCAAAATGGTACATGAACGACCCGCGAATCCGGCAAGGGATATACAAGTACGAAGCATGGAAGTCGTTCAAGACACCTAGTTTGAGCGACGGGCAATTGCAATGCTCAAGGTAATGATGGTAATGTACAGTGCCATGGGCTGTGCTGTGCTGTGCTGTGCTGAACTGAGACGCGCCATGCCGCGTCGAAGTGCTGTTATTGTATTGTGGATCAGGTCGTTCATGGCGTCAGAATCCCAATCAAACTGATCTGGATCGTAAGCTCGAGCTGTCTGAACGAATAACTCAGATCTGGCCGCAATCGAAACACGCGGGGCGCTCGACCAGCTTGAGCTCAAGATCCAATGCAGTTCGGGAGCGAGGCGAACCGAAAGGGGGCGAATCTGAACAGTTCTGTGCCCTGCTGCGTTGTGGATCAAATCTTCCCTGACATCCGAATCCTGACAGAACTGAGCTGGGCCTCAAGCTCGAGCTGCATGGGCGCATTGCTCGCACAGAGCTGACTGCAATCGACACCTTATGAAAGGACTGTTACGCAACAGAACGAACTGATTAAGGCGAGTCCAAGCCGAGGCGACATGCATCGAGAAGGGGCCGGCCGAAACGCCGACCCGACAACGGCGGCGGACGGCGACGACCGCGACCGCGGTTCCAGCTCGGGACCACAATGTTAGATATCCCCCATGGGTGGCCTGGACACATGAGAGCACGTGGTTCCATCTGGGGACCACCATGTTGGATACCCTGGTGGGAAATCTGGAAAACCACCAGCCGGCGGTCATTGCACATCCGGTGTCGATGTATTGATTTCGTCTGGCCCTCGCGGGCCACCACGCTGGGGGGCGCCCAGAAGACCACATGTTAGATACCCCTCCTTGCGTGGCCCGCGCAGGTGGAAACGCGTGCTTCGCGGGACCACCATGTTCGCTGTCCCCTCTGGGTGGCCTGGACACGTGCTAGATACCCCTCTGAGTGGCCTGGACACGTGAAAGCACGTGGCTCCAGCTCGGGACCACCACGTTAGAGACCCCTCTGGATGCCCTGGGTGCATGACAGCACGTGGCTTCAGCCTCGGGCCACAATGTTAGATACCTTTCCGGGTGGCCTGGTAGATATCCAACCCTGGGCGGCCTGGGCACGTAAAACACGTGGCTTCAGCTCGGGACCACCATGTTAGATATCCCCCTGGGTCACCTGGACACGTCAAAACACTTGGCTCCAGCGCGGGACCCCCATGTTAGATACCCCGCTTGGTGGCCTGGAAAAGTAAAAGCACGTGGATCCAGCTCGGGACCACCATATTAGCTATCCCCTCTGGGTGGCATGGACACGTGAAAACACGTGGCTCCAGCTCAGGACCACCATGTTAGACACACTTCTGGGTTGCCTGGGCATGTAAAAACACTTGGTTCCAGCATCAAGCCACCATGCTAAATACCTTTCTGAGTGGCCCAGGCACGTGAAAACACATAGTTCAAACGAGGGGCAAGAGAGAAACATCTGAGATACCTACCCCTGGGCGGCCTGGACACGTGAAAACACGTGGCTCCAGCTCGAGACCACCATGTTAGATACAACCCTGGGTGGCCTGGACACGTGAAAACACTTGGCTCCAGCTCGGGACAACCATGTTAGATACCCCTCTGGGTGTCCTCGGTACGTGAAAACACATGGTTCCAGCTCGGGGCCACCATGTCTGATACCTCTCTGGGTGGCCTGGACACGTGAAAACACTTGGTTCCAGCTCGGGGCCACCATGGTAAATATCCACCTGGGTGGCCTGGACACGTGAAAGCACGTGGTCCAGCTCGGGGCCACCACCTCAGATACCCCAGTGGGAAATCTGGAAAATCACCCGCCGAAGAATTTGTTGTTTCTCCTCGCCTCCGAGCACACTGAGCGAGAATACGTACACGACAGACCATGGTACGCCTTGCTGATAGGGCCACGACCTCCGTCTAACAGACAAGGCGTCTCTCTGCATGGGTCTCGATCGCACACCACGTCGGCTCTCCATTCTGCCGAAGAAACTGTGTCAAGTTATTACGAATCCGGTGCCGAGGTATTGATTTTGTCTGGCTCTTGTGGGCCCCCCACGCGGGGTACTCCCAGACGACCACATGTTAGATATCCCCCCCGTGGGTGGCCCGCACACGTACAGTCGGGGCGTTGACCCACAAGTTCAACCTCGATTTACCTTCGAAGACCAGAGGAAAGCCTAAGGCAAACTTATTTGAAACAATCAAGGAACACGGAGCCCCTCCCCTACGCAAAGGGTTCCTTCTTCAGCGCCCCGACTGTAAGAGCACGTGGTTCCAGCTCTTGGCAACCATGGCAGATCCCCCTCTGGGTTGCCTGGACACTTGAAGACACGTGGTCCCAGCTCGGGGCCACCATGTTAGATACCCCACTGGGTGGCCTGGACAAGTGAAACGTCGTGGCTCAAGTTCGGGACCAGTGGCCTGGACACGTGAAAAGATGCGGTTCAATCGGGAACAGCCATGCTAGATACCCCCTTGGGCGACCTCGGCACGTGAAAACAAGCATTTCGCCTGAGACATGCTCTGAATTCTGGCCCCTCGGAGAGGAGCGATCTGTATGACAAAACAACCGTTTCGCTCGAGACATCCTCAACACATTCTGCAAAACAAAGTTTTTCGCTCGAGACATCCGCAACAAATGCAAATGTTCACCTGTTTTATCAATCGGAATTCCAAAAAACAACGTTTCGCTCGTGATATCCTCAAACATTAATCCGCCGATCCTCTTCGACCTCGTCATTTATCGTACATTAATCCCGCCGGCCCTCGTCGAACTTGGCACCAGGGACAGGCTTACAACACTACAAGAGAACCCTGGGCCCACGCCCTTTCCAGGACAAAGGTACACACAGCCTAAACATCGCAGGGAATGAAGTCTGCATACAAGCTCTCCCCCACCACCTGGTCGAGCGCCTCGGGCCCTATGTTCAAGTTTCCGGACTAGGATGTGCAGCATGCCAGGGAGCGGGCGTCGCTCCCTGGCACTCGATGCTATCGCATTCCTGGCTCCGACTTTTGCTGCCCGTGAGACCGAGCAGCTCCCAGTCTTTGAGTGGGCTCATCATTTCAGCGAGGCATTCGAGCGTGACCCACCCGACCGAGAAGCATTCGAGAGTGAAACACCCCAACACGTAGCAGGTAAGGAGAGAAGGAGAGGGAGTGAACGATTCCTCGAACGGTGCAGGGAGTCACGCGCTTCGCATGTCACCGTACTCGTCTAGGCTCGAACTGTTGTGCAGGCATGGGTGCTAAGCTGCACCACAGCAGCCCCTGGCGAGCCGACCAGAGGTTATGATTCAGACCGCCAGATTCGCCACAGAGAAGCATCATCCTTCTATCTTTATCATCAGCATCAGCATCAGCATCAGCATCAGCATCGTCATCATAATCGTCATCATCATCGTCATGATCATCGTCATCATCATCAGAAGCATCATCATCAGCATCATCATCATCATCAGCATCATCATCATCATCATCATCATCATCATCATCATCATCATCATCATCATCATCATCATCATCATCATCGTCATCGTCGTCGTCATCGTCATCGTCATCGTCACCATCATCACCATCACCATCATCGTCATCATCATAATCGTCAGCATCATCATCAGCAGCATAATTATCGTCATCATCATGACAATCATCGTCATCATCATCATCATCATCATCATCATCATCATCATCATCATCATCATCATCGTCGCCGTCATCGTCATCATCAGCATCATCATCAGAATCAGCATCGTCAGCAGCAGCATCATCATCATCATCATCGTCATCGCCATCGTCAGCCTCGCCATCATCATTATCAGAATCAGCATCATCGTTTCAACTTCAGCATTAATATCATCATCGTCATCATCATCAGCATCATCGTCATTGTCGTCACCATCATCATCGTCGTCATAATCATCCTAGTCAGCATGAGCAGCAGTATTATCATCGTCATCGTCATCGTGATCGTCATCCTCGTCACCATCATCATCATCATCATCATCATCATCATCATCATCATCATCATCATCATCATCGTCACCATCGTCGTCATCATCATCAACATCAGCATCATCCTCATCATCATCAGCATCATCAGAATCATCAGCATCAGCATTATCGTGTACGTATCCCTGAGAGGCGATGCGTACGTACTTGGTGCAAACGATTGTGCTACACAAGTGGGACAGGGAGGAGCGAAGCGACAACATTGCACACAACCTGCGGCAACGGCGGCATTTCGACGTGCACACGCTTGCCCTGCGGCATCATCCCGAAATGCTCCTCCTACCTCCTCATCCTGCCCCTCCCCCTCCCCCTCCCCCTCTTTCCCTCGACTTTGGGGAGGACAAGGAGCGTAAGTGAGGTGCGCCTGGTGCTTCGGCCGAACCCGCCGCTCCCTTTGACGCGCTCTGTTAGGCGACCCCGCGCCGACAGCATCTGGCTGTGCGACACGGACACACGGTGGCCCACGTGGTCAACATCGAGAAGGTGGCGCTGGAACAATTCGAGGGCGTCCTGTGGGTGGAGGGCAACGTGCCGGGTGATCAGCGTAAGGCGCACTCGGAGGAGGTGCGACGCGACCTGATGACGCGTGGCGGCGAGCACCAGGCTGCCAAGCGCTGGTCCGCTGCCCGTGCAAGGCGCGGGCCGAGGCGCATCCAGATCAGGACATCTCCGACGCAGCCGTGCCTGCGAGGGGTCAAGCCCGACGGGCGGTTGGCCCCGCCGGGGCAAGGCTGTCGAGGCACATGAACGCCATGACGCATGACCTTGCGCGACGAGGTCAGGGAGAACGGGATTTCCAGCGGCGGCGGCGGCGCCGGCCCCTGGAAACGGCACGTCGTGGAAGGCGTACGAGCGGGCCCTCGAGGGCATCCGGGAGTCGACCCTGGCTCTCAGGGCGAAGGCCGAGCCGACGGCGGCACGTCGTGAGAGGCATACGAGCGGGCTCTCGACGGCATCCGGGAGTCCACCCTGGATCTCAGGGCGGAGGCCGAGCCGACGGCGGAGCCCGACGGCCGACGTGGCGCTGAGAGGGCGGCGGCGGCAGACAGTCGGAACCAGGGGCCGCGGGCCGCAGGCGGCAGGGCGCTGGCCGAGATCTGTCAGGCACCGCGAGGAGCGCGACCACGTGAAGCGCGCTGGGATGAGGAGGAGGAGGAGGAGGAGGAGGAGGAGGAGGAGGAGGAGGAGGAGGGGGAGGGGGAGGGAGGGCGGGAGGGAGAGGGGGGGAGGGGGAGGGGGAGGGGGAGGGGGAGGGGGAGGGGGGGGGAGGGAGGGGAGGAGGAGGAGGAGGGAGGAGGAGGAGGAGGAGGAGGAGGAGGAGGAGGAGGGAGGAAGAGGAGGAGGATGGTCGGTGTGCAGGGTAGTGGGGCGCGCTCGGCGGAGCGTGGGGGGTGAGGGGCGGTTAGATAGCGGGCTCACCCAGGTGGCTCAGCCAACGATGAAGTGCGATCGGCGCCCGATGTGTGCCCGATACCTTGGGGACTCTGCTGCGGAAGCGGGCAAACCCAGGGGGAGCGGTCGAGGGCTATGCTTCCTGTTCTGGGCGTTCTCGGCCAACTTGATGGCGTCGCCATGCCAAGAAGAGTTGGACTCTCCTCTTATCCTCCTCATTCTCCTCGTCCTCCTCCTCCTCCTCCTCCTCCTCCTCCTCCCTCCTCCTCCTCCTCCCTCCTCCTCCTCCTCCTCCTCCTCCTCCTCCTCCTCCTCCTCTGCTTCCGTCCTCCTTCTCCTCCTGCTCATCCTCCTCTTTCTCCTCCTCTCCCTCCCAATCCTACTCCTCCATCCGCACCCTTCCCCTCTTAAGGCCGTCTCGGGGACCTATTGGCCAATCCAGGAGCCCTCTTGGGGCCTTCCAGTGGATCGTCTTGCGGTCTGAGTGGGGCCCTCTGGACGCCCGTCTGAGACCTCTTCGGCTGCACGCCCGGCCTCTGGGGTCAATATTGAGCGGGGGGCTGCCTGGAATGTATGCAACAAACATACTCCGAATGATTGAGAAGCGCTGGGGGGATCGCAGGAGGGGTGGAAGCGGGCCCCTGGGGGGCCCAACAGCTCGAACCTCGATGCTCGATCAATCGAGGACGATGAGTCAACGGACGACGGCGGCGGCGGCGGCGGCGGCGGCGGCGGCGACGACGACGACGACGACGACGACGACGACGACGACGACGACGACGACGACGACGACGACGACGACGACGACGACGGCGGAGGGCGGCGGCGGCGGCGGCGGCGGCAACGGCGGCGGCGGCGGCGGCGCCAGGCGCGCCAGGCGCGACCGCGCCGCGCAGGGCGCCTGCGTGCCCCAGGCACGGGAGGCCACCCGCTGGAGCATCGCGTCCACGAATTTCTGCCCCAGCCACGACAGCAGGCCGCGCACGACGCCTGGGGGGGGGGGAGGGGCGGGCGAGGAAGACGGCGTCCATGTCCTCTGCCCACGCCCCCCAGAGGTGGAGGGATGAGGGAGGGAGGGATGAGCGATGAGAAGAAAGAGCATAGATGAGTGATGAGTGAGGGATACGGGACCGGTCGACCGGGGGGCTCGGGTCGGTCGGGCGGGACCCTAAGTGGCGGGTCGGGTCGGGCGGGCGGGACATGAACAAATTGCGCATCATCGATATGGCACGCGAGTACCCTAACGGGCGGGTTGGGTCTAGCGGGCGGGAAATTCATGTATGGCGCATCATCGAGCTGGGACGCCAGTATCCTAAAGGGCGGGTCTGGTCGGGCGAACGGGCGGACCCTAACGAGCGGGACGGAACGAGTCGGACGGGCGGACCCCAACAGGCGGGTCGGGTCGGGTCGGGCGGGCGGGACAATAAAATATGAGGCATCCTCGAGTTGGCACGCGAGTACCCTAACGGGCGGGACGGGTCTGGCGGGCCCTAACGGGCGGGACAGGTCGCGTCGGGCGGGCGGACCCTAACGGGCGGGTCGGGTCGGGTCGGGCGGGCGGGACATGAAAGTATAACGCATCATCGAGTTGGCACGCGAGTACCTGAACGGGCGGGTCAGGTCGGCGGGCGGGCAGGACCCCAACGGGCGTCCGCTCGGGCGGGCAGGACCCTAACGGGCGGGCGGTCGGGTCAGGCGGGCGGACCCTAACGGGCGGGACGGGTTGGGTCGGGCGGGCGGACCCTAACGGGCGGATCGGGTCGGGTTGGGCGGGCGGACCCTGACGAGCGGGTCGGGTCGGGTCGACAGGCGGGAGATAAATGTGTGGCACATCATCAAGGTTGGACGCGAGTATCCTAACGGGCGGGTCCGGTCGGGCGGGCGGGCGGACCCTAACGGGCGGGACGGGTCGCGTCGGGCGGGCGGACCCTAACGGGCGGGTCGGGTCGGGCGGGCTGGACATAAAGTATGAGGCATCCTCGAATTCGCACGCGAGTACCCTAGCGGACGGGAGGTGCCGAGCGAACCCTAACGGGCGGGAGGGGTCGCGTCGGGCGGGCGGACCCTAACGGGCGGGTCGGGTCGGGTCGGGCGGGCGGGACATTGAAGTATGATGCATCATCGAGTTGGCACGCGAGTACCCTAACTGGCGGGACGGGTCCGGCGGGCGGGCGGGCCCTACTGGGCGGGACGTGTCGGGTCGGGCGGGCAGACCCTAACGGGCGGGAGGGTCCGGGCTGGCGGGCGGACCCTAACGGGCGGGACGTGTCGGGTCGAGCGGGCGGACCCAAACGGGCGGGTCGGGTCGGGTCCCGCGGGCGGGACATTCAAGTATGACGCATCATCGAGGGCGGGACGGATCCAGCGGACCCTAACGGGCGGCACGGTCGGGCGGGCGGACCCTAACGGGCGGGCGGGTCGGGTCGGTCTGGCGGGACATTGAACTATCGCACCTCGTCTAAACATTACGCCGGTGCCCTAACGGGCGGGTCGCGTCGGGCGGGCGGGCGGATGCCAGAGCTGGCCCGGAGCACCGGGCGTACCCAGAGTGCCTGGAGTGTCTGGAGCGACGGTGGACCGGTCCAGTCCTGTGGAACGGGTCGCGCGGAACCTGGCCTGTGGAACCAGTCCTGTGGAACTTGGCCTGTGGGACCAGTTCCGTGGCACCAGTCGTGCGGATCGGGTCCCATGGAACCAGTTCCGCGGAACCGGTTCTCTGCGGAGCTGGTCCCGTGGAAGCGGACACTTCGTTGAGCTGGGCCTGCCGAACGAGCCGTCTGTTGAACCTGGTAGTCTGCTGATCCGGTCGTCTGTTGAGCTGGTCCCTGTTGGACCAGTCGTCTGCTGAACCGGTCTTGTGCCGCCCCAGCCAGGTCGCCGCGTCGGCGGCGGCTCGAGCCTCAGGGGCACCAGGGCCAGCGAAATATTCGGTCGCGTCGCCCATCCGCGGGCGTCGCGCTGCTGCCAGGTCCGCAGATCCGCACCGTTGCCAGTGCGATTTCGAATCTCAGAGCGAGCAGGGAGGGAGACGCTCTCGCTTCCCAAGCCTCTGGATACGTCAGCGCCATTGAAAGAGATCCTCGTCCTCCAGCCCGAGGGCAACAGAGCTCAGGCCAGAATTCAAGCAGAACGTCTTACCAACTCCTCTTTGATCTCACGGGTGCCAATGTCAAGGCCAAAGTGGACGTAGATGTTAACGCCATTGAAGTTGAAAGGAAAACTCTGCTAGCGTTGTGTATGGGTTGCTGCTCGTTCTGCCGCGGTTTGCCTGACTGTGGCAATCCCTCCTGGCTGAGGAGGCCCAATCCAGTTTGACACACACACACACCCTGTGTGTCAATCCAGCCTCTATCCAATGCTGCGTCGCCCCCTCAAGATAAGGTTTCCAACATGAGCAGCCTCAAACAACCCTCGCCGCAGCTGGAGGAGACGGTACCGAGAAGGATGAAGAAGAAACCGCGGCAACAGCAGAAAGAGCAGGATATGAAGAGCGGCAGCAGCCGCAGGGAGAGCAGGCAAAAGGAAAGAGGCCGAAGCAGACATTGTTAGATGCGGCAGGGCGGCCGCCTCCTCTGATGTGCTCCGTGTCGTGCGTCTTGAGGGTGTCCGTCCGCGACGCGAGCGAGGCGCTGAGCGAGGTGTCCGACTTCACCCGGCTGTGGGCGGCCAGCGAGCCTGACGCGCAAACGGTCGCGTGAGGTGAAGTCGGGCCTGTCCCCCTACAGGGGGGCTTGCGACGAAAAATGTAAAAAATACCCCAAAAAAATAATCCAAAAATAGTCCAAATAGTCTGGGGACTGCTTCTTTAGTATTGTTTGACCTTTTTGGGGGGTATGTTTGGGATATGTTTTATTTTTTTTCGTCGAAAATCCTTGTGTAGGGGGATACGCCCGACATAAGCGTAAGGAGACCCCGCGGGCTCTCACTCTAAGACATCGCCCAACTCGCCTCCCGGATCGGAGGCGACGATGGGGGCGGATAGAATAGCCCAGGGGCCGGGCAGGGCACGCATCTGCCCGAGAGCCTCGTCGAAGGCACGGAACATCGGCGCCCTTGGGCACGTCTCAGTCGGGCGTGTGCCCCTACAGGGGCATTTTCGATGAAAACTAAAATACTCTTAAAATACTCCAAAATGCCCCCCCCAAAAAAGAAAACTCGAAAATAGTCCCCACACTATTTTTTGTGACTATTTTTGAACACTCCCCCTGTAGAGGGACAGGCCCGACTTAAGGGTACATAGATTGCTCTGCCCTGGGCTCTTCGCCCACGCCATCGCCCCCGATCCTCCGCCCCACCACCACCTCTGGTCACTGAGCTTCGAGCTCCGCGCCGCGCGAGTCGCGACCCCGCGGGCGCTCTCGCGCGGACCGCTCCCCGGACACCCAGGCCACGAGGCACGAGCGCTGCGCGACGTGCGGACCCCTGCCAATGACCCAGACACCAACTTTCCAGCAAGGGTGTACTCGAAAGCCCGATCGCTCACATCGGGTTGACCCAAAAGGGGGTCCAGCGACAAGGGGGTGGTGCAATAGATTTGGTGCAATAGATTCGTGGGGTTGCAGTACATTTGGGGCGTGCAATAGATTCCGGGGCGCAAATGTATTGCTGGATTTTCGCGTGCACTACATCAGTTGCAATACAACGCAATACAATTCTCCAGCGCAATACGTTTGCAATACAATTGCCCCGCATATATTGAACCACCCCCTTGCAGCTGGACCCCCTTTTGGGTCGCCCAGATCACACAAGCACTCACGACGGCGGGAAATGATGCTAGTGGCATGATACACGTAGCCTGGAGGCACACTGGAAGCATCGCGCGCATTCGACTTCTGGCCACCTTGTTGAAACGATGCACGGCGCGCAAGGAGGACCGTCGCTGAAACAAGCTTCTCCAAGCAGCGTTTGCGCTCAGAGCTTCGCCCTGGGGGGGTGTAAATTCGCCAGCCCAACGGGCCAGCGGCGTGCTAAGATCTCCGGTAATTACTCAACAATATTTCTAGTTCGCGCGCGCGGGACGGCCCCTGGGAAGCCCCGGGCGAAAAATACCCCGGCTGACCCCCGGCCGGGTCCCGGCTGGGTCCTGGGCGATCCCCAGGGGGGAGGATATTTTTCGCCACCCCTCACGAGGATCGTGGCCTCCGAGGGGGGGGGGCTGCCAACGACTACCCCCCCTCCCGCCCCAAGGGGCCCCCAAGAGCCCCCCAAGAGGACCCAGGGCAGCCCCATACGCCGCCAAGGAGCCCCAAGACGCCCCCAAGAAGCCCCCAAGACGGCCCCAAGAGGCCCCAAATAGCGCTCCGGGGCGGGCGGAAGGAGCGAAGCGATTCAAATAACTGGCTGGGCTTTCCGGATTCTCGGCGGGTGCCCGCCCGTGGACGCCGCATGGGCGCCCCGCGTGTCGCAGGCTGCCGGAGCCTCGCCTGGTGCCCGCCCGTGGGCGCACCGTGGGCGCCCCAGGCTGGGAGGGCATGCCGAGCTGCTGCCCCCCCCCCCCTCCTGGGACACTGCAGATTACTTGATTACAGGGCAGTTTTTAATACATAGGATTTTTAGAAATATAGGAGCTTGAATCCATGATTACTTTACTATAAATCAATGCATAAATTCCGCATTGCTTGCAATACTAAATTAAATCCCTTTATTTTGAATACATGATCCGCACGCGGAGCATGTATCAAAAACGGCACTGTATGCCTCGACGTGAACCTTCCAGGTGGGGAAAACAACCAAAAACGGGGGGAAGCCCGAAAAACATGCAAAAAACCGAAGGGGAAACGGCCAAAGACGGAGGGGAAATACCATCCCAGGCAGGCCGGGTATCGCCCACCCCCCCCCCTCATCTCTGTCTGAGATTACTGTGCGGGCAGACTCGCTTAACGCAACAGATCATCTTGCCAGAGCCCCTGGCAAAAACAAAAACAGTCTCGAACGATCCATGCCGAAACTCTCGGCGTTTGTTCCCGACGGTGCGCGCGCTTGCTGGTGCGATGCGCGGCGGGGCCCCGTGATCTCGGCCCGCACTGCGGTCGGGCCAGGTCGAAGATTGCCGTTGTCCCAACTTGCAACAGCCCCAAATCACTGGACGAAACAAGCCGAAACAGACCCTGGGGCGAGAACATGATCGACCCACGAACCCGGAAAGGAATGTAGAACTGTAACACATGGCAGCGTTTTCAAAGACACCTGCTTGGGTGACGGGCAAATGCAATACTGAAGGTATCGATCTTGATGTACCCTGCCGAGGGCTGTGCTGTGCTGCGCCGTGCTGAATTGCGATGTGCCATGGCGCGATTGTGCTCTATAGCCTCGTGGATCGAGTCCTCCTTTGCATCCGAGTCCTGACCGAACTGATCTGGATCTTAAGCTCGAGCTGCCTGAACACATAGTAGCTGCCCCAGAGCTAATGGACAGGGGAACATGCCAGGAGGACGCGCCGCGAAACGTCCCAAGGGATGCGCCAGGCGACGTGCCAGGGGACGTGCCATGGGGTCGCACCGCGGGACGTGCCAAGGGGACGCGCTACGGAACGTGCCAATGGATGTGCCACGGGATGTGCCAGGGGACGCGCGACGCGACGTGCCAGGGGGACTCGCCAAAGGACGCCCCACGGAACGTGCCAAGGAACGTGCCAAGTTGCAATGCTGAGTGCATCGACCTTGATGTACCGTGCCGAAATCAGTGCTGTGCTGCGCCGTGCTGAATTGCGATGTGCCATGGCGCGATTGTGCTCTATAGCCTCGTGGATCGAGTCCTCCTTTGCATCCGAGTCCTGACCGAACTGATCTGGATCTTAAGCTCGAGCTGCCTGAACACATAGTAGCTGCCCCAGAGCTAATGGACAGGGGAACATGCCAGGAGGACGCGACGCAGAACGTCTCAAGGGACGCGCCAAGCGACGTGCCAAGGGACGTGCCATGGGGACGCACCGCGGGACCTGCCAAGGGGACGCGCTACGGAACGTGTTGGGGACAAGCGTTTCGCTCGAGACATCCTGTCAAAATCATTTGAATTCCTACGCGCGGGACGCTGCACGCGCGAGACATCCTCGGAATTCCTGCGAGCGGGACGTGAAAACAAGCATTTCGCCTGAGACATCCTTTGAATTCTGGCCCCCCACGAGGCCACCGCTCGAGACATCCTCCAATTTTGCAAAACCAGCGTTTCGCTCGAGACATCCTCAACAAATTATGGAAAACAAGCGTTTCGCTCGAGACATCCTGTCAAAATCCGAAGAAATCCAAATACCCGCGCGCGGGACGCGGCACGCGCGAGACATCCTTGGAATTCCTGCGCGAGGGGCGCTTTTCCGTGTCGCGGTCGGCTCTGCAAAACCAGCGTGTCGTTCGAGACGTCCTCAACAAATTCTGAAACCAAGCGTTTCGCTCGAGACACCCCCAACTCTGCAAAACCAGCGTCTCGCTCGAGACATCCTCAACAAATTCTGAAAAAAACAAGCGTTTCGCTCGAGACATCCTCAAAAATAATTTCGCCGGCCCTACTCCGTGCGTGCCCACTCGCAAAATAACTTCGCCGGCCCAAGTCGCAGGGGGGCCGGGGGGTTAACCTACTAAAAGAGAACCCTGGGCCCGCGCCCTTTCCGGGAACAAGCACCCCAAACCTCCCGATCCGAAGGTAGAGTGAAGTTATCAAATGCTATACTCACTGCGGGTTTTCGAGACCAAGATGGATGCCAGCACGTGGGCCAGGCGAGCGGGGCACGGCATTGCTAGCACCGTCCAGCGAATTCCTTTAGGCCCCCCGCCTTCTAGGTGCTGGTGTGGGCGTCCCGTGCGGCTGCAGACTCCACGCCCCGAGCAGACCCGATTAAGCTTTACAAGGTCGTCGGGGCAAACATTACCGACCAAAAAACGAGTCCTTTTTCGCCACGGTTTCCCCCATTGACAGAAATCAATTATAACTTGAGCGGCCCCACTACGTGCAACAAGAACTTTGAGCTTGTGGTCGTGCCACATCTTAGATGTATGCGGGTTCTCCAGAACCCAGGGGACCCCGGCGGACTGGGCAGCACGGGCCAGGTCAAGAGCAGCGTCCAGCGTGGCACTACCGAGAGCGACCTTGGCCACATCGCTGGCCATAAGACCCGGGATCCCCCTGATAAACTTCCTAGATCGAATTGGACATGCACGATCTCGAGCAGCCGACCACGAGCTGCAGGGGGGGGGGCAAGCACTAGGCCAATACATCGGCCGTTGGCGAGGTCTTGCTTTATGGGTCTTCGGACCGCAGGGCAACAGAGGTCCCCCGCGGCGCCGTGGAGAAGGTCCCACTCCCGAGCACTGAAACCGGCCAACCGAATTTTCTTGCTCACCACCCCGCAGCCCGAAAAAAACAATCCGCTACATGAGTCTTACTCACACATGCTGGAGACCGAGGTTGAGCGGGCTTCACCTGCCGGGGCACACACCCGCGCGCAGTGACTCGCAGCATACGCAGTGGCTTCGCGAGCGGGCGTCCCGCTCGCCGAAGTCCGGCCTCACACGCGCGTGCTTCTCGTACCTGGCGACCGACTTGAACTTCCGCCCTTGGCCCCGCATCATCACCTCTGGGAGGCCCGTAGCTGTCGCAGCCTGTCGTGCGAGGCTTTGTCGTGACGGTGCTGGTAGGGAACTAGCCTCCAGCCCCGCGTGGCACTGACAGTCTGCACGTCGACCAACAGGTCCTGGTAGCTGCACGGGCAAGCCCGCTTCGTCGCTGGCGTGGCGCTGAGCTCCCGCCACACCACGTACAGCCACTTCGGCCCCCTCGTGTCCAGCTGCAGGCCGTCGTTGAGCGCGCCCACCTTGGTCGGGACGCCCAGCTCCTCTGGCGCCAGCAGCCGGCTCCGGTGGCGGGACACGCCCCCCACCGGCGCCACAAAGTGCCCGCCCTTCACGCCGGGCAGCTCGGACGGCCCCAGGTAGCACAGGAGGCCCCACAGGATCGCGGCCGCGTCGCGGCGCTTGCCACGCTCTGACGGCCAGTGGCATACGGCTCCCCACACACACAGCGGCGGCGGATGCCAGCTCCGACCAGGGCATAGCCGCCGCCAGCCCCTCATTCCTCCCCACGCGCGCGGGGGCGAGAGCTGGCCAACCTCCCCAGACTCCAGGAGGACGTGCAGGACACCAGCCAGCAGCCTCTCCCCCACATTCGCCTCTTGTCCGGACAGGAACAGCTCTGCCTTGAGGACGTACAGCGCCCCATCCAACTGGTTCGGCGGGCGGAGGTTCAGCCGCTTCTGCTTCGCCCAGTAGACGAACCTCGAGACCAGGAGGTGATAGTACTCCCTGGTCTTTGGCTGCACGACCTCCGACTCGAGCAGGGTATCCAGCTGGCCCACGGCGCGCCGGGCGTCCATCAGGTACTTGGAGCGCCCCCACTCGCACCTCGTGAGGGCGTCCAGAGCGTCGCTGTCCGCGTTCTCCGCGGCCGCTGCCACCTCGCCGCGGTCCTGGCCGGCACCGGCCTCCGCGCGCGCGGCGGCGAACAGGGGCCTTGTCGCGGCCACCTCCACCGACAGGCTCCCCAGCTTCGGCACCGGCCACTGGCACAGCAGCTTGGGGGCCGCTACGCCCAGCGTCCGCCGGCCGACAGCCTAACTCGGCCCGGCCGCAGGCGACAGCCCGTGCGCCGGCGGGCGCAGCTGCGCGCGCCTCCGCGGGCGGCCAGCCGTCGGCGGGAGCCCCTCCAGAGTGGGCGCGGACCCGGCCGCCGCTGGCCTGGGCGGCCCCAGGCGGGCGGTCCGCTTGGCCGCGGCCCTCTACCTGGCAGTGGCTGCGCTGCGGCCCCAGCTCGCCTCCATCTCTGGAAGGCGCGTCCGCCGGGTTGAACTCAGACTTGATCCAGCGGAAATATGGACGGATGTTGTAAATAAGACAAAGAGCACGAAACCGTCGGATCTGCTGTAGCACCACATAGTTCTTGCACCTACCCCGAGCGAGCGAGAGAACGATGGCCATACTGTCCACCAGGAACAGGTTACGACTATTAGCGATTCCCGCGGCGATTAGGCTCTCCAGGCCCAGAACCAGAGCTCGAGCTTCTAACTCCAGGATGCGTTCTCCGAACTTCCATTTACCCTTTCCAGTAACTCTCCAAGGTGATATCAAATCGTCCTCAGTGATGTAATCCCGGGCTGAGAAGAGACCCCCTCCCCGAACGGCACCTCTGGGAACGAGCTGTCGACCGTCCACTCCTCCTCCCCCGACGACATGGGCAAGGCCTCTCCGATGTCGGTGATGTTGGCTGTGTCTACGAATAGCGGCGGATGATGAGTTTCGTCATCGTCATGTAATGGATGCAGTGCTGCGCTCGCAGCGGCGCGAGCTCCAAGGCCATGTATACGACGGAACCGCGAAACCTCTGGGACGCGAGCGACGCTAGCCACAGCATCGGCCGCAAGCACACAGCGGCATTGCCCCCATCCCTCGAGAGAGGCATCCGCGGCCACCACCGCCCCGCACCAGGGCGAATCCCATGGTGCGCGAACCAGCGGCAGTAGCCCGATGAACGCCTGGAGCTCCTGCCTCACGGTCGGCCGCATGACGGCCATGCTGTCGCCATGCCGATGTATGAAGGCGTAGCAGGCGTTGAAAACGCTGAGTGCCGTGCGGTCCAGCAGGCCCACGAATGCGGCGTGGCCGACGAGCCTCTCCAGCTGCTTGCCACTGAGGCGGCGGCGCCGAAGGGCCCAGCGGAAGGCACCATCAATGCGCCACCTCCGCTTCTCGGTCACCCGCGTCTCGAGCTGCGGGCCATCCAGCAGGCACCCCAGCGTCTCGCCTCCTCCTGCCATCAGTTCGTGCTCGTGCGTCTTGAGCCCGACCGCCCCCAAGGCCGCGCAGCCAGCGCCGAGCGCCAGCTGCGCCGGAGGCTCGGCCCCTCCGAACACGCCCAGGTTGTCGACGTACAGGGCGTACTGCACCTCGCCGCCCTTCCGCGGAACGATCGGCTCGGCGTGGTCCGCGATCCTCCTGCTGGGCCCGAGCTGCGAGACCCTGCCCAGCACCGCCTCGCTGCAGCGCTGGGCGACCCACAAGGACCATGTGAAACCCATGGGGAACGAAGCCAAGCACGGGTATATGAGGGCGCCCCGCCCTACGGTGTCCCGCAGCTCGGTGCACTTGGCGGGGATAGGCCGCAGAGCGAAGCACCGATGCATGCCGTCGGGCAGCCGCAGCCGGTGGAGGCAGTTCTCCACGTCCCCCACCCCCAGCGCGAAGCCTCACTCAGGGTCGCCCACGAACCCAGGCTCGCACTCTATCCTGGACAAACCCTCGCTCGTGATCAGATCGGTGTGCGAAGGGGTCTTGAAACAACGGTTCCCCCTTCTCGCGTCGATGATGAGCCTCAGGGACTTATCCTTCTTGCCGACGAAGAGAAGGCCAGCGTGCTCGATGGGATCAGTGGTCCACTTGATCATGCCCCGCCGGTCGAGGTCAAGGATGAACTGGCGGTAGGCCTTCTGGTTCCGCGACAGCTTCTTGTCCCAGAACGGTTTGATATCACCCAGCCTCTCGTTGAGCTGTCGCAACTCATCAGGAGACCGCATCATGCTCTGTTGCCAACCCTCGATAATCAGGCGGTCCTCAGCATCCAGCACCGCCGTCACGTCGGCTGCATCGTGGACGTGCTCGGGGAGCGAGACGGAACCAAACTCGTAGGGCACGACGGTGGTATGGGTCTCCTCGGCGTCGTAGCTGAGGTGACCACGGAGAAGCACACCAGCGGCTTCTTCCTGGGAAGGCGCTGTCGCTGGCTTCACAACGACAGGGGCGACAAGGGCCGCCACGGCCTCCATCTCGAATTCAGAGGCGCCTGAGCACGCCGAAGTCCGCGCACCCAAGCACCAGTGGAGCGCGTCCACGGTCTCGTTCTTGCGCCTCAGCACCTCCACGCCACGCCCATGTCGGTGTCGGGACGGGCGGGAAGCACCACCCAGCCTGGCCGGGATGTCGAAGGCCGGCAAGCGCCGATGCACCCCCATGCAGGACCTGAAAGAGGCGGCGGGGGCCGGTCCGAGTCCCCCGCCGCGCGCCTCGCTCATTTAGGCGGCGGGGGCGCGGTGAGCCTGGCCCTGGCGTTCATCTTCGCCCTGCCAGCTCCGCGACCCCCGCCTCCCCTGCTGCCACCTGCGGCTGCGGCCAGCTCGGCCGCTCCTGCGCCCTCGTCCCCCCCCGTCCTCCACGTGCTTCAGGGAGAGGCCCCCGCGGTGCACGCTGCCCTCCATCCTCTTCTCCTTGAACCTCTTGGCGCCGTACAACCGCGGGTCGGGTGCCACCGCGTTCTCCGGCATCGCGGTGCCCGAGTACACCTTGGCCGCGGGATAGTTGAGCTTTGCGCCCGGCGCCGAGTGGGCCTCCACGATGGTCTGCCACCTCCGCATCGGCACCTCCACCCCCGCCAGACACAGCAGGGACGCTAGGTCGTGGCACCCGAACGTCTCGAAGCTCTTGGCCAGCCCCCGCAGCGTGCGCCTCTCCCCCTGCGAGTCCCAGTCGACCTTTGAGCACCCGCCCGTCGAAGGACCCCTCCTCACCGTCTGGCGGTGGCCCCGCCGGCGGCGAAAGGGGCGGTGCACCGCCAGGGGGTCGCTTGGACAGCGGGCAGCCGGCGCCCGCCGCGCCCGCGTCCTGGCCCCCCGCCTCCCGAGGGGAGGCGGCGACAGGGTCGCCGTCGGACGTGGGGGCTGGCTCGGGCGGCCCCCGTGGCGTAGGCGGCGAGAGCTGTGCTCACCTCTGGGCCTCGAAGTCCTTGAAACTGAGCTGCGGGTCGACGGCCATCACTGGCACTCCCTGCCCGTCGTCCGTCGCTGCCACCTCGTACGGGCGCCCCGCATACACAGGCATCCGCGGCCCGCCGTTGGCGCCTATCTTCCCGAAGTCCACCCCTGGCTCCGACACGCGCCAGGCCACCGCAGGCGGATCCCCAGCTTCGGCGGCATGGAGGGCCGCCACAAGAGGGCCGCCTCCGAGGTCGCCACCAGGCACGGCCCGCGCCCGCGCGGCCAACGGCCGCGACGACCTTCTCGCATAGGCAGGTATCCTCGCCATAGGCGTCCCCGTTGGCTGCGTATTTCAACCAGCAGGAGGCTGACGGAGGCCAGACTCGCACCCGCTTGTGACCCCACGTATCACCCTCGAAGAGCCCCACGAAAGTGTGCCTGGGCCAGGGCGTAATATGCTCGACGATCGCCATACTGCCACGGAGTCGAGCGACACCCACAGGACGTCAGCACCCCGCTCGCGAAGGCCGTCACCGTCCCGAACGTCAGCTGGAGCCAGCTGACCGAAGCCGTCGCCCGCGCCGACTCGTACTCGAGCACCGGCGCTGGCTCGCACTCGTGCACCGAGGGAGGCCCCTGAGTCTCTGGGCACCGCTCGGGCGCCGGACGAGGGGTACACTGATCGCACTCGAAGTCCGACGGCACCTCCTCCAGCACCTCGGCGGGGGCTGGGCAGACGGCGCACGGCTCGCACTCGCACAGCTCGCCGAAGACGGCCGGGCAATCCGTGAACAGATCGAAAACGCCCGACTGGTTCACTAACTCCTCCACGCACCTCTCGGGTGCCGGGCAAGGGGTACACGATACACTCCCCGACAAATCACCCTCAGCGCCAGCTGCACCGCCAGCGTCTCGCTCCAGGGCCCGCGGCCAGCGCCCACGCGCCGCGTCTAGCGCGAACTCCACCAGCCACAGCGAGCACTCCAGAGCTAGGCCAGGCCGCTCTGAGAACAGCGTCCAAAGCCCCGCCAGGTATGGCGCGGCGAGGAAGGCCCACGCGCAGGGGCGGGGCATGAGCGCCTGTACTCAGGCGAGTGAGGCTTGAGTCGCAGTGGTTGCGGACCCGCCCCCCCCTCCTTCACGTGCACGCACCCCCATCCTCAACAAATCCTCATGCTAGACATCTGTCTGGGCAACCTGGAGGCGTGAAACCGAGCGTCTCGCTCGACACATCCTCAAGACCTGAGCACGTGAAAACAAGCACTTCACTTGAGAGATCTTCTGAATTCAGGTCCCGAGGCGAAGACCATCTATAGCACAAAACAAGCGTTTCGCTCGAGACATCCTCAACAAATTCTGAAAAACAAGCGTTTCGCTCGAGGCATCCTCAACAAAAAAATCGCCGGCCCTGCGCGACCTCTCCACTTATCAACAACAAAAAAAAACATGATCGACCCACGAATCCGGAAACGAATATAGAAATGTAAGGCATTGCAACATTTCAAAGACACCTGATTGGGCGACGGGCACATGCAATGCTGAATGTATTGATCTTGATGTGCCGTGAAGACGGCTGTGCTGTGCTGGGCCGTGCTGAACTGCGATGTGCCATGCTGCGATTGTGCTCTGTATAGCATTGTGGATCGAGTCCTCCCTGGCATCCGAGTCCTCACCGAACTGATCTGGAGCGTAAGCTCGAGCTGCCTGATAGCTGCCCCAGAACTAACCGACAGAGGGAACATGCCAGGAGGACCGGCCGCGGAACGTCCCAAGGGACGCGCCAGGCGACGTGCCAGGGGACGTGCCATGGGGACGCACCGCGGGGCGTGCCAAGGGGACGCGCTACGGAACGTGCCAGTGGACGTGCCGCGGGACGTGCCAGGGGACGCGCCGCGCGACGTGCCAGGTGGACTCGCCACGGAACGCACCAAAGAACGTCCCGAGGTGCAATGTTGAGTGTATCGATCTTGATGTGCCGTGCCGACGGCTGTGCTGTGCTGGGCCGTGCTGAACTGCGATGTGCCATGCCGCGATTGTGCTCTATATAGCGTTGTGGATCGAGTCCTCCCTGGCATCCGAGTCCTCACCGACTGATCTGGATCGTAAGCTCGAGCTGCCTGAGCAGATGGTAGCTGCCCCAGAACTAATCGACAGAGGGAACATGCCAAGAGGACGCGCCGCGGAACGTCCCAAGGGACGCGCCAGGCGACGTGCCAGGGGACGTGCCATGGGCACGCACCGCGGGACGTGCCAAGGGGACGCGCTACGGAACGTGCCAACGGACGTGCACCGCGCGACGTGCCAGGGGGACTCGCCACGGGACGCTCCGCGGAACGTGCCAAGCAACATGCCAGGTTGCAATGCTAAGGGTATCGAAATTGATGTACCGTGCCGAGGGCTGTGCTGTGCCTGGGCGACCTGGACACGTGAAAACACGCGTTGCGCTCAAGACGTTCTCAGCACATCCTCATGCTAGACATCCGCCTGGGCAACCTGGACACGTGCAAACAAGCGTCTCGCTCGAGACATCCTCAACAACTGCTCATGCTAGACATCCGCCTGGGCGACCTGGACATGTGAAAACAAGCCTCTGGTTCGAGACATCCTCAAAAAATCTTCATGCTAGACATCCGTCTGGGCCACCTGGAGGCGTGAAACCAAGCGTCTCGCTCGAGACATCCTCAAGACCTGGGCACGTGAAAACAAGCAATCCACTTGAGAGATCCTCAGAACTCAGGTCCCCAGGAGAGGACAATCTATAACACAAACCAAGCGTTTCGCTCGAGACATCCTCAACAGATTCTGAAAAACAAGCGTTTCGCTCGAGACATCCTCAATTTTTGATTCGCCGGCCCTACGCGACCTCGTTATTCATCGCAAAAGAAATTCGCCGGCCCTACAGCCGTCAAAACCGGTGGTAAACCTACTAAAAGAGAACCCTGGGCCTATGCCCTTTCCGGGAATAATTTCGCCGGCCCTACAGCCGTCAGAACCGGGGGTAAACACACTAAAAGAGAACCCTGGGCCCGAGCCTTTTCCGGGAAAAAGGAGATAGGTTCTACCACCCTCCCCCCCCCGGACTTATCGATTCCCCGGTAACCAATCAAAACACATATGATTCTGACCCAATGTCCATCCTACCTGTGAATTCATACTATCCCAGCCAGGCCGGTATCGCCCCCCCCGCCATCCTCTGCAACATAATCGACCCACGAACTCGGACAGGAATATAGAAATGTAAACCATGGCAACGTTTGAAAGACACCTGATTGGACGACGGGCACATGCAATGCTGAGTGTATCGATCTTGATGTACCGTGCCGAGGGCTGTGCTGTGCTGCGCCGTGCTGAATTGCGATGTGCCATGCCGCGATGTTGCTCTATAGCGTTGTGGATCGAGTCCTCCTTTGCATCCGAGTCCTGACCGAACTGATATGGATCTTAAGCTCGAGCTGCCTGAGCATATCGTAGCTATCCCAGAGCTCCTTTTCATTGACAGGGGGCATGACAGGAGGACGCGCCGCGGAACGTCCCAGGGGACGCGCCAGGCGACGTGCCAGGGGACGTGCCATGGGGACCCACCGCGGGACGTGCCAAGGGGACGCGCTACGGAACGTGCCAATGAACGTGCCTCGGGACGTGCCAGGGGACGCGCCGCGTGACGTGCCAGGGGGACTCGCCACGGGACTCGCCACAGGACGCGCCGCGGAACATGCCAGGGAACGAGCCAGGTTGCAATGCTGAGTGTATCGATCTTGATGTACCGTGCCGAGGGCTGTGCTGTGCTGCGTCGTGCTGAATTGCGATGTGCCATGCCGCGGTTGTGCTCCATAGTGTTGTGGATCGAGTCCTCCTTTGCATCCGAGTTCTGACCGAACTGATGTGGATCTTAAGCTCGAGCTGCCTGAGCACATAGTTGCTGCCCCAGAGCTCATTGACAATGGGACATGCCAGGAGGACGTGCCGCGGAACGTCACAGGGGACGCGCCAGGCGACGTGCCAGGGGACGTGCCATAGGGACGCACCGCGGGACTTGCGAGGGGGACGCGCTACGGAACAACATAGAACAATATATACCACAAAACAACCGTTCCGCTCGAGAAGTCCTGAACCAATTCTAAATTATACGGCATCCGCACTCCCAAGGCCACGATCCCTCGTGAATTACGCGGCGCCCGTGCTCCCAAGGCCACGATCCCTCACAAATTACTCGGCGCCCGCGCTCCCAAGGCCGCAACCCCTCGGAATTTACACGGGGTCTCCGCTCCCAAAGCCGCGATCCCTCATAAATTACATGGGATCTGCGCTCCAAAAGCCGCACCCGCTTGTAAATTACGCAGCCCCCGCGGCTTCAGGCGCAAAGGGGGCCTGGTGGTTTTTAAGCGTGATCTTTTTCAGCTCCAGACTGGATGATTCGGCGGGCTTTCGGCCCTCCGAGGGTTTCATGCGTCTCTCTCTCTCTCTCTCTCTCTCTTTCTCTCTCTCGCTCTCTCTTCTGTGTGTTTTCGTTCGTAGCGCATTCCTCTTCCTCCTCATCCTTCTCCGTCTTCCTCCTCATCCTGTTCCCGATCATCCTCCTCTTCCTCCTCCTCCTCCTCCTCCTCCTCCTCGTCGTCCTCCTCCGCCTCCTCCCCCTCTCCCCCTTTTCTGAAGGAATGCCAGAACTTTGGGAAAACCATTGGAAAAACCAAAAAAACCAAAGAAACCTAAGTGGTGGAGACGACAAGTTTAGGAAACCCATTGGAAAAACCAAAAAAAACAAAACAAAAAACCCAAAGATTCCACAGAGAGTGCGGGGAACACCCGTCCGAAGGGACACGTCCAAAGGGAATCCCCGCACTCTCTGTGGAATCTTTGGTTTTTTTGTTTTTTTTGGTTTTTCCAATGGGTTTCCTAAAGTGTTCGTTTCCAGCACTTAGGTTTCTTTGGTTTTTTTGGTTTTTCCAATGGTTTTCCCAAAGTTGTTGCATTCCTTCAGAAGGGGGGGATGGGGGAGGAGGGGGAGGAGGAAGAGGATGGAGAGGAGTCGCAGGGAGGAGGTCGCGGGAGGGGTTCGTACCTGCGGCGCTGAACCCTCCCTCTGTGATGCATTCCCACGGAATCCTGTTGAGAGGCCTTCCATGAGAATCCCTTTGGGGTGCTTTCCAAAGGAATCCTGTTGTGAGGCTTTCCAATTGGATCCCTCTGTTGTGCTTTCCAATGGAATCCTGTTGGGAGGCTTTCCAATGGAATCCCTTTGTGATGATTTCCAAAGGGTTCCTGTTGTGAGGATTTCCAAAGGGTTCCTGTTGTGATGGTTTCCAAAGGGTTCCTGTTGTGAGGATTTGTGTTCCAGCGCCATCCTCCCAACGGTAGCAGTTTGGATTGCGGCTTTCCAATAGAATCCCTCTGTTGCGCTTTCCAAAGAAACCATGTTGGGAGGCTTTCCAATGGAACTCCTTTGTTGTGCTTTCCAAAGGATTCCGATTGTGAGGCGTTCCAGTAGAATCGCTGTGTTGCGATTTCTGTAGGATTCCGAATGTGAGGCTTTCCCATAGAATCCCTCTGTTGTGCTTTCCAAAGGAATCCTGTTGAGAGGCTGTCCAATGGAACTCCTTTGTGGTGCTTTTCAAAGGGTTCCTGATGTGAGGCTTTCAAATGGAATCCCTTTGTTGCGCTTTTCAAAAGATTCCAATTGTGAGGCTTTCCCATGGAATCCCTTTTGTGTAGTTTTCCAAAGGATTTCCTTTGTGACGCTTTCCAATTGAAACCCTTTGTAGCATTTTCCGAAGGGTTCTTGCTGTCAGGCTTTCCACTAGAATCCCTTTGGGGTGCTTTCCAAAGGGTTCCTGTTGTGAGGCCTTCCAACAGACTCCCTTCGGGGTGCTTCCCAAAGGAATCAGATTGTGAAGCTTTCCAATGTAATCCGATTGTGAGGCTTTCCCATAGAGTACCTCTGTGGGGCTTGCCAAAGGAATCCTGTTGAGAGGCTTTCCAATGGTACCATTGTGGGGCTTTCCAAACGAATCCTGCTGAGAGGCTTTCCAATAGAATCCTTCTGTGGCGCTTTCCAACAGATTCCGATTGTGAGGCGTTCCAATAGAATCCCTCTGTGGTGCTTTCCAAAGGAATCCTGTTGAGATGCTTTCAAATGGAATCCTTTTGTAGCGCTTCCCAAATGAAGACCTGTTGAGAGGCTTGCGCGGGCTAGCGTGGTCGCAGAGATGCACCAGCCAACACCCAGCACTCATCGCAATCGCTCCCGCATAGGTTTTGCAAACCAAGTTGCGTGTGGGTGGGTGGGATGATTGCGCGAGCAGTGGAGTAGACAACATCAAGTTCGGCAAGTGAATTGCACCACATACCTTGCAGCAGATAGCTTACACCAAATGGCCTACACCACACGGCTTACACATCCACAGATCAATCATTTAACAGCTTGGGGTCAGCCCTGGCTAACAGTTGGAAATCATGAATTGCTGCTCCAGAGAATGCAACGGCGGAAAGCGAGGAGGAGAACAGGAGAAAGAGAGGAGGAAAGGAAGGAGGGAAAGGATCAGATGACGATGCGGGAGTGGAGTAAGATGGTATAGAAAGCGAGGCGAGGGATGCTGGTCGGGACAATCAATGAGGACAAGGAGGAAGAGGAGGAAGTAGGGCGAGGCTGAGGACAACGAAAGAGGGGGCGAGTACTCCCCAAAGAAGGTCGCCTGACGACATCCGCCGAGCTTCCGACAACTGCGACTCCTTGAGGCTCGTGTACAACCTGGACATGCCCTTGTCCCGGCACATCGGACCTCCACGTACGCTAGTCACTTGACCAACCTGCATGCCAGGAAGGCCCAGGAACAACCAGAACACCCTCCCCAGTCAAAGCTTCAGTCAAAATCGTCAAGAGACAGCGGGCTGTGGTACACTTGACTGCGAAAGATATGTTGGGTTGCTCCTCTGCCCCTCGCCCCAAGGATGGCCAACCGACCACGGGCGCTGCCTGATTGCACAAAACGGCGAGGAAAAGCCTGCGCTCAGCAGCTCCTGTGCAGAAAAACTCCAGGCAGGACGGAAGGGGCGCAGGGAGGCAGAGAGCGAGAGGAAGGGGAGGGAGGCAGGGCGGCAGGGATGGTGAGGGGATAGCTCTCGAGTTTCGGCGAAGCTAGCTCTGGAACACCACGCACATTCCACTGCCACTTGGAGGGGCAAGGGTGTCCTGATCCTCCCCTTACTCCTCCTGCGAGCGCAAACACGGTCCAACATTCCATCATCCCCTGCGAGAAGAGGCAGGGGCCATGCTCCGACGCAACCACATCCCCACTAAACAGCAGGAGCGAACGCGAACGAGAGCAGGACGACCCCACAAAAGCCCCCACCTCCTCCCCCTCCTCCTCCACCTCCCCCTCCTCATCCTTTCCCCCCTCCTCCCCATCCTCCGTCCTCCGTCCTCCTCCTCCCCTCCGTCTGGTGGCCGGTCGTCCGCTCGCGCCTCCTGTGGATACGGACGGGGACACCGCGGCACCGCGCCACCGCCCCCGCCGGCCCGCGACACCCAGGCGGGCCCCCCAGGCAGCGCCGCAGCTCCGAAGTGACCACTCCGCGCAGCGGCCGCCTCTCTGCCCGCCGCCTGGCGCGATCGGCCGCGCCTCTGCGCCGCGCCCGCGGCGCCCGAAGCGCAGCGTGGGCCGCGCTGCGGGGCACGCCGCGCCGCAGCTCCGAAGTGACCACTGCCCGCCGCCTGGCGCGATCGGCCGCGCCTCTGCGCCGCGCCCGCGGCGCCCGAAGCGCAGCGTGGGCCGCGCTGGCACTCGCTCCGGGCTGCAAACGACCAAGAGCAACACGAGGTAGCGCGAACCGACCCACGAAGAAGAGATCCGTGACGGCGTTCAAGCACGCACACGAGATGGTACAGCCCTGGGGGCATCCGAGGCAAGCAGCTGGCGCGAACCAAAGCTGGTTCGAGCTGCAATGACACTGGAGACGGGAAGGAGGAGCACGAGGATACTGAAGAAGGGGGTCTGGAGGAGAAGGACGAGGACGAAATGGGGGGAAGGCGAAGCTGACAAAATGCGGGGGATGGTGGGAGGACGTCACGCGTCGCAGGGCGAGCGGAGGGACTGCAGTAACACTGGTCGTGCCGCATGTAAACCTGACCGGCGGCGGGCGGAGCAGCCAGGGGAAGCCTCTTCCACCCCCCTCCCCATCCCCCACCCCTCCTCCTTTAGCCCGTCATCCCTCCATGTGTATCATATTTGTCGTCATTCTCCCCCGCTCACTTATTCCGATCCCCCGTTCTGCCCCGTTCTCCCCCGTTCTGCCCACAGGCCCTGGAAAAAAAAAGTAATATTATCCTCCTGTTCCTCCTCCATTTCCTCCTCCTCCCGATATTACTATTGTTAGTGATAAGATTATGAATCGTAGTATGGTTATGATTAATCGCATTAGTATGTTTATTGTTCTGATGTGCAGAATGTTCCTTCGTCTCTGTCTGATGAGTATCATCACCGTTATGTTTCGTAATATGAGTAATATTGTTAGCATTAGTGCGCATGCATATGCTTTCCCCCGGATCCACAGTGCCGAATTAAATCGAACACTTTGGGTACACAACACATGCAAAACCTATGACGCAAAATCTGCTTTCCTGTTCCACAGATAAAAGCTTCTGATAGGTTTTGCAGCTCCGGCTGCCTGTCTGCTGTGACAGGCAGCTGCAGTCCACTCGGGAGACTGACCCGAAGAGAAAAGAAAGAGACAGAGACAGTAGATCATTGGAAGAAAAACGAAATGAGGACAGCAGGACACGGTCCAGAAACCCCGTCCAGGAAACGAACTCGCTATCCCAGACCTTGCGAGAGGCCGCCTGGGATGTACTCTTCAGACCCGGTGTCTTTCTGCGACGCCCCACTTCCTCGCCCTCGTCGACGAAGACCAACCAACCGCTGATCACTAGATCAAAAAGGGATGCGCTGGCCTTGGTCGCGTCGTCCTTCGCGAGAGCATCTACCGGAACACGCCCATGTGGAATCCATCCCACATGGCCTTTGGCGCGCTCCAAAGGCTCACATAGAATAACCAGGTATGTCGCCGTGCATCTGTCACGCGCACTGGCGTTCCCTTCCTTCAACATGGTATCATGAATACTCTCGCATTCGGCCACATGCACTTGGGCCCCCTAGAGCCCAAACGACATTTGCTCCTCAACACGGCCATGAACGGCCCGGCCCCTGATAGTGATCACTCACATCAACATCTCGAAATAGAACGTCCCGATACAAGATTTGAAGGCACTCCACTTCTGACACTGCTGCAGCCAGAGCTTGGGCTCCTTCAGCGAGTGTTGAGGGAACTGTCGTACGTAGCCTAGAACTCCTCCAGCCCAGTATGAAGGCTCTGACTGAACGAGTCTCGATGATGCTTTTATCAGTAGCGCACACCATCCAGGCAACCTGGGTCGGATCTTCCGGCAGGCCTCGGTCGCCCTCGAGACAGTCGAAGGCTCCGGCGCCCCCTGCATCAGACAAGGTGACAAAGGCGAGTTGGTTCGGATCCAACTTCCACACGGCGAGGCCCCGCGAAGCTGCGGCACGAAGATGTCTGGCGAATTTCCTGGCGAGAGCAACATCCCCCGTCGCGGCAGCTCTGAGTCGACTGGCCAGAACACTGGCGACACCGGCCGCCCCTGGACGGGTCTCCCTGCCCACCGAATTAAACTTGCACACAGGGGAACGCAGGGCTCGAAACTCGGCTTGATCAAATGGTGCGTTCATAGATGACAGGCGGCCCTTACTCGTGGAAAGGGACTTCACTTCTTCCAGAATGCACTTCTTCCAGAATGCATGATTCCATGTCCATGGAGGCCTTCCGAGGGCCGATAACTACCCTGCGCCCAGCGAACTCCACAAGTCCTGAACGGCAGCCCCGGCATTTACCAAACTTAAACCTGGCCTCGAATCGCTTCGTGGGCCAGCCCCTGGTAGAGGCGGAAGATCCCCCGATGTAGAAATCGTCAACTTCGAGCAGGATCACATTCGGGACCCCCCCTTGTCCTCGCATCGGACCCACCAGCGCGGTTCTAGAAGGCTCGCGGCAAAACCCTGCTGCTCAAAAAACTTGACAACCGTCTTCCCCCATGCCACGGGGGCGCTGTCAAGGCCGTAAACGCTAACTTTCAGGAAGACGAGGGACCCGTTCGGCACGCCCACCCCTTCACAGGGCTCAACGTAGATGCTGCCCTGGGCCCTGGCCATAGGGTCAGATTGGCAAAACGCACCCTCGACATCCACGACGTCCGCAAACATGCTGAGATCCATGAGCACCTGCACGAACATCAGAATACTCAATGTCTGGGGAGTGGGGTATAAACTCCATGCGGACCCGAATCGGGATCTCTGCGGCCGCGCACGCACCACCGAGATTTGGCCGCGGGCTCTGATCCTGCGCCCTCGACGGGCTTCCACCTGCGGACAATCCGACTCGAAATGATTCTGTCTGGCTGAGCCCCGCGGATGACCTCGGCCATGTCAGGGGAGAATAACTTCAACTGCCTCGGCCCCCATCATGGGGCCCCACTCATCATGGTCAGCAATGGAAAACTTCTCTCTCTCGGCCAGCGAGAGATTCTCGAGGAAGACCTCGCCCCCATGACTGGCCACAGGAGGGCGCGGAGTCCCCCCCGACGTCTACCAGCCCAGTCCAGTCGCCCTGGTTCCCAGGAGGCCTGGATAGCCTGCACTCCACCACCACCACCACCGGAGAGGGGGCAAGGGGGAAATCCTCGAGCTGCTCTCCGGGAGGGGAGCGACTCCTGCCGCGGCTGGCGGCGCCGGGCCCGGCCTCGAAGTCGCGCGCGCGCTCTGCCACTGAGCGACGGGGCTCGTCCCCAGCGACGATGGACCTGACCTCGCCCCCTTTCACCCCGGGCCCAGGAGGAAGAGCAGGAGGAGGAGGTCGAATCACCCTGAGGAGGAGGAGGAGGAGACGAGGCGGTTCCCTCGGCGGGGTCGGGAAGACCCGGGGGCCGATCGTCCGAAATCCGCCTCGAGCGGCCCCCCGGAGGAGTGACCGCGGGAGAGGGGTGCATGCTGGATTCTTCCGCGATGGATGGCAATCGAGTCCTCTCGCTACCGGCACGAGCCTCAACCGAATCGGCGTCAGACTGGGCTCCACTGAGAGCTCTGCCCCCCGCGGCCCCCGGCGGACCACCGGGGCGGAGCCCCGTCGGGCCCGACAGCGACCTCGGGCCCCTGGGCCATTACCTGGGGAGCCTCGCTCGCGTCGCGGCAAGCTGGCTCGAGAGCCCTCGCGTTGGACATCCACGGCGGAGGCTCTACAGGCCTGGGCTTGATCTAACAGGTCCTTCCACTGCGGGTTTTGGCCGAGCTGCATGCCGAACTCCTCGCCGAGGCTGGCAAGCCTGACTTGCTCCGCGGAGCACTTCCGAAACCCGGAGCGAACCACCACCCAAGCAGCGCCCCCCCTTCACGCACAGAACCACGACTGCAGGCCCCGCCCAGCAGGCCCAGCGTCTCCCGAGCGCGTCGGCCCAAGAGGAGGTCCTGCTTAGGTTGCGCCAGACAAACACACATTGGCCTGGGGTGAACTCCCCCATGGCTGGAGCCCTGGCAAGGGGAAGCTACCTTCTCGCAAGAGTTGGCCTCCATGGCCAGACGACGGGCAGCAGCTCGGACTCTCTGAGATCTGGCGAACCCAGCTCCTGCCGCATCCTGCTCCGAGGCGGGGCCGATCATGCCCCTCCAGCCGAGACACCCCGCACGTCGCCACTCAAGATGCCCCGTGGAAGCCTCTGGCCGAACGCGAGCTGAAGGAGCGAGAAACCCCCACGATGCCAAAACATATTCTTATGAGCCACCAACTCATGGACGAGGTCGCCCAGTTCGCCCAGGGCTCCGGGAACCGAGGCGCCCGCGTCCACCTCTGACTTGATCCTACCCTTAACCATCCCCCGCGTCGTTCCACTCTGCCGTTCTGCCGGGGACTATCAGCGCCACACGCGTGGCGTAAAACCCCCCACCGTTCAAGACCCCGGGGGAAACGCCCCCCGAATTCGGCAACCCCAGAGGGCGAGAAGTCTGGGGCCCCGAACGGACGGATCCAGCACACCGAAAATCCCGACCAGACAGCAGCAGCCTTAGCATCGGCAAGACGGACGCACACCTGGAGGTTAGACCCATGGCCCACAAGGTCGAGAAAGGGGCGGGTCGCGCCTTGAAACTCCAAGTAGGAAAGATAGATTCCAACGATATGGTTGAAACGAAAGGCGCGGGGAAGGGCGACCTCCCCGCGGTTTCTGGTTCTTTGACGCTCGACGCACTCGGAGCACTTAAACTTATCCCGGGCCCACCTGACAAAGTGGCGCTTCACTTCCCCGCGCGGAGAACACGGCAGAATTTCCTCGAATCTGGGTGGCCCATGCTCACGTGCAGTGTATAAATCAATCGATGTTCCTCCTGGCTGGGGTTGGGGTCCTGGGAAATGCGGCCCTCACTCGCAGGCCTGAGGGTCTCGGGTTCGTCCTGGCCACTGTCCGCTGAACCCCCCCTTCGTCTTTATCACGAGGATCTCCCTCCACGGAGGCCACCGGACAGGCCTGCTCCGCGAGCTCGGCCCACGCGGGCTTCAACCTTTGAGACGCCCCGCCCCGATGTTCTGCCACCGCGCGGCGGGCCATTCGCGAACCTCGGGGGATACCGAGCCGCCCTCGAGATCTGCCAGCCCCCCCCCAGGATAGCGCGAGTGCGCCCCCCAGTGCAAAGATGGCCGTCTAAAGCTCGAATGACCTGAGGATGTTTGGAAAGGATGCCAATTGGTTGTCGAGGCCCCGGTCGTTCACCTGCATCCCCAAACAACACATATCCAACCTAACTCGTCTCACGCCGGGAAGGGCCGACTTGGGCCGGACAACCTGGGCGCTCCAAGAACCGACGACTTTGGGGTACTCGAATGCAAAGAGCCTTCCCTGATCATGCTGATACTGAGCGATCTCCACGCATAAAATCAAATCTCGCAGACCGCTCGCGACCTGCCGCTGCCACTGGGCCCCTACGATCTCGATTGACCCGATTTGATGGCTAAGAAGACATTGCGCTCCGAGCAAGCCCAGACAAGCTCGGGTTCTTCACGCCTGCT